GCGTATGGTAGCACCCCAGTAATATCACTCACACACTGATTGCCCCGGTTTTCTTGGTACTTACAGTATACGCGTCGCCACCTGGTGCGCGAGCGTGAAACGCTACAGCTGCTTGTCCAGGATGCAACACGATACAGTTCTGAAAGGGCAGTAACTCTTGTTTATTCTCTCTGGCCTCTTTTTTCTGTTAAAAAGTCCGCTTGTTTCAAAATTTTTGAAACATGAAAATGCGGAACGGAGGCAGTAATTTCTCTGCTCTTGACTGTTTGGTGTTTGATTATACCTGCAAAAAATCATTAGTGTTCTCATAATTAATAACAAACATCTTATAACAAAAAATGCGACCACGAGTTACTCTAGAACACAGGCTACGAAAAACTGCTCCAGCCCATAGTTCAAAAATCCGTGGTTAATTCCTCAGAAACGCCATTAAAAGCGGCCTCGTTGCTGAATCAAAAATCGTCGAAGAAATATGCCAAAACCGGTAGCTTCTGGTGGTACTAGCGAAAGCAAATGTGCACAGAAATTAGTTGAAGAAATGATAAAAGATCCTCCCGAAGTTCAACTACTTTTACTAAAAGACTCTATTACTGTGCAATCAAAGATTTACAAAATTTCGGGTGATCTTCCCGCTGGGTAGCCGGCGTGAAAAACACCCGAAACGTACGCTGCTCGAATGCCTCTACATATAAATTTTTTGAAAAAATTAGTAGCTTCCACAACTCCAGTGAAACATGGAAGGAAATAGCACCGACTTATGAAAAAAATATGCTACGGTGGCATTACCTTGTTCACCAAAATCTGGATCGCAAACGTATTACTTTAATCTCAGGTATATCACCCGAGATTAATGCACAGTGCCTCCTTCTGCGTCGAAAAAATAGCCTACTACACTTATTACTATACCATGCTAAAACATGCACAATAATTCAGAAAAAACTTCCAAAATCATGCAAAAAAAAAATTCCTAAAAGCAATGCATTATTATCATTGAATGAAAATGCAAGATACCGTTCATTATTTTACTAAAACCCGTTTAAACAAATGTTGAATTATGATTTTGCAAACCTCAAATTCTGCCCAAAGGCAAGCCATCTGTATGCAGACACATGCGATTGCTTTTGCTGTATAACGGACCCCCCAGTTTGTCATGTGAAGCCTGAAAGAAAATGAAACTCCGGTTAAAAAGGTAAGAGGGGGTAATAGAGCAGTCGAAATTTGAGTGACTGTGCAGCGCTACCAAAATTTACGAGAATTCAGTGCTAAAATGCCGCCCTCGCATCAATGTGGAAAAGTTACGTACAAAACAATAATAATAAATAGCGGCGCGCACCAAGGCAACCGGTGCGATTATGCGTATTGTGCAACTCTGTCCACCGAACGATTGCCTGCTAATGATTTTCGCTGCTCTGAATTTAAATTTGAGGGGTTGCAAGTAGGCAGGCAGCAGTCTCCCAAAATTTCAGCTTCCTAGATTTCGCGGCCCCCCGAGATAATCATTTACCTGCCAAAAGTTTTACCGGGACGTATGTTACCCGCGGGCACCGGAAGGCTGAATTTAAATTTTCTGGATCGCACGTGGGCAGGGGACATGCTCATAAAATTTAAGCTTCCTAGATTTTCTGGTTCCCGAGATAATAATTCACCGGCCAAAAGTTCCACGGGATGGTGGGTGATACCCGAAAGCGTGGGAATGCTGAATTTGAATTTGCGAGATCGTGTGTGGGCAGAGGGGCATTACCTTAGAATTTCAGATTCCTAAATTCAGCAGTTCTCGAGATAATAATTTACCCGCCAAAAATTTCACGGGTCGTGTCACCAGCGGGTACAGGAAGGCTGAATTCAAATTTTCTGAATCGCACGTGGGCAGGGGACATACCTATAAAATTTTAGCTTTCTAGCTTCTGTGATTCCCGAAATGATAATTTTCGAAGCCAAAACTTTTACGGGGCCGTAGACGTTATCCGCCGATACGGAGAGGCTGAACTTAAATTTGCGGGGTCACAAGCGGATGGGGAACGTTCTCATAAATTTTCGGCTTCCTAGCTCTTGTAGTTCCGGAGTTTAAAGTTGCGGACAAGTTCTTGTGGAAGCAACTGCTAAAACTCGGCTCGGCTCGGCTCGTGTCTTACACGATTAGCCAAAAATTTATTCTGTGGACGACAGGCAGGGTTGCCCGTGCAGCCCTGTGCTACAAATACGGTCAGGGTTATTGAAACCTAAAAAAAGGAAAAGGGACGGGGTTTTAGGGCCTCTCGGGTCATGAATATGCGATGTGCAAGGTATACGGTAGGCACATTTTACAGCCCGGTTGAGGTCATCTATACGCCTACGTTGGCAATGCCCATATTCTTCCTCTATATAAGCGCAGGTTTTGGGCGCAGAGTTCAGTAGTCTCCGGTCCACTAGGGCTGAGTGGCGGGGGCGAGTTGTTCGCCCACTGCCCTCAGTCCTTACCAATACCGTCCCCTTTTTTTTCTCCTTTTTTCCTTCTTTCCTTTTATCCTTTTTTTTCACGAACCTTTCTTGACGATCAACAGTTTCATCAGTAGTGCACGATGAACTCATTGCACGGAAGCCGGTGCTCTAAAATGTCTCCTGTTCTTCATTTCTTTCACTATTGACGGCTTCGCGCGCAAATAAGATTTTCCTGTGAGGGCCTTATTCCCACGCGATCCGCTGTTCAGGAAACAACCATTCGATTCATATGACACTAAAGCTCCGATGCATGCACTGTTTTTTTCTTTTTTTTGAACACAAACACATTTCCAGAGCGAATTTGCGGGGTTCGTATGGGGGTGCACCGCATACTGCTTCTTCAGCACGTAAGTAGCACTGCCGGCTGCAGTGTAGAAATTGTCGTCTAATTTGTACATTCTGCAGCTAGGTCGTAGGGAAGCTGGGACGCTGAAACTTTCAGGGAATGCCCCCAACTCCTCCGTGACCTCTCCGTTTTTTGTTCATCTAGCAGCCTCAGTACCTCCTTCTGCTCCGACTCTTTGTTTCGTCTTTCGATCTGATTCCATTACCCCTCATCC